ACTCTAAATAGCTTGGAAGTGGAGGGTGAAGCTATATGCCACTAAATCCACACTGGACCTTTAAATGGAAGCCTAAATAAATACATTCAAACATTAGCATTGTAAAAAATGCCAAATGCCACATGTTAAATATCAGCATGTTAACATTTGTATTACGCTGTTAACTGCAGGCATGATGAGATGCTAAGCTTGTATTGTGTAAGTGGCACAAAGCCTGACAACAGAGCCTACAGCTACATAGGTTGAGTTAGAGATGTCCTAGAGATGTACAGAGTATGCATTGCTGCTTTCTCTGGCGCCACACTCAGTCTAAACTCTCTATTTGTATTTCATCCTTCTCTCAGGAACAAAACAGCCTGTTGCAGCCTATTTTTATTTATGAATTATGATATACAAATTAGTTTTCTAAGTATGTTTCCTAATATTGTCTGAAACAGAAAACACTAAAGTCTGGCTTCCTATTGTCATGCAGAGTCTTCTCATGTCCACTGTGTATTGTGTCAACCCGACAGTTTGACATTTGTGGTTCTCCCTCATAGTCCCAGAGCCATTTCCAGGAGGAATGAATGAGTACCTTCCATAGGCTTTCCTGTGTGCTGTCACATGCTGTTATTGCATTGAACTTATTGGATTACTTATTGTGCAGTAAAAAATACAGGTGCCCCAGATTGACTGAATATACGTGTGTGCTTAATGGCTGCCTAATTACCATTTATCTTAACTTGAAAGATTTCCCAAACATCTCTCTTGGTTTATCTTTATGACTAGTAGTTTATTGTAGAGCAGTTGTGTTATTCCAGTAATCCAAAACTCTGCAGCAGGTGTCAGATTAGTGTGCCTATCTGGAATTGTATATTATACAGTAATATAAACCAGCTTAAGGTGAAACACGACATTGATCTTTATATTGCTACTTAGATTTTGGTTATTTGAGCACATTTACAACATAGAGTTGTACTTCCTGTTGAGCACATAGTAAGGTAAGTGACCTGTAACAGAGTTTGAGGGGAAGTAAAAAACGCTTGAAGAGGTGCTGAAAGAGACTAACAATAGAGAGTTTTTGCACTGTGCTTTTGTGCTGCAGTGATCCAAGTATCTGGCGTCACAATAGTGAAAACAATAGAGAATAATAGTAGGTGGGATTCCATGACAACATTTTTGTTCATCTGTCAGTTTCTTCCTTTAAAGTTTCCACATTGGTACTCTTTGTATTAGTTTAGCTTGTGAAATCACTTTGACATTCTGCACATCGTTGCTTCTTCCTGACAGAATGTGCAACGGAATCATCGCTTCAGGTCAATTGTGGGCTATTCTTTTCCAAATGTAATGTGCCTACAGCTGAGGACACCACAAAATATAAAGCAAACGTTAACAATTAGAGCTGCAAAGAGATTACTTCTGTATCTACTGCATGTGTAAATTGACACAGATTGTGATCTATCTGTGATATTTGAATAGATGTTGGAAAGCAGACACCCAGATACTGAAAGGGTCAGAGATTTAAAGGTAACCTCATTGAAACCATTTGCCAACAAAGTTCAGTTTCAGTTCTGCGACATGTGGAGAAGCTTACTGGAGCAGCTGCTCTGTCAAAGAGAGTAATGTACTGTAGGGTGGAGGCCATGAGTAACAAAGTCCCAGAATTCCAGGCACATATATCAGCACTTCAGTAATAATAGTCCTTATTTTTAAAGATGAAAAACACCAGACATTATTTGATGCTTATTAAATAAATAGCTTAGTTAAATATGTACACAAATATTGAAGTGAAAACACTAGAGAATATTTTGCCTTTACCTCTTTACTTTTAAAGTTCAGGCCCGATAAGTAAGAAGTCTTCATAATAAATTCACTTGACATTTCAGCAGATTTTTTGTGTATAGTGTAACTATTCAACCAATCCTTTAATGTTTACCAGTTGCTCATTAACCAGGAAACAAAAATACGACAACCCTTGTGCATTTTCGCTGGTCGCGGAGGAAATCTTCCCCACACTTTCATTTTCTTCTTTATTAGCGTAATGTAGTAATTTATAGGGGAAAAAAAGTAATTTAATGAAGCATTTCAGAGTGTAAATGCTGTACATACAGTGTGTCCACAAACAGGACTTTTTGTCTGTGTGAAAAAAGGAAACCCATAAAAACAAGATGTGATCTTGTGTTCCTCAAATTGGCTTTTAGTTTAGCAGGCCGCTATGAAACCAAAGTAACACATTTCTTAACCTTAAACTAAAGGTCAAATATAATACCAATGTATTGCTGTTTATTTAATGGCACAAAAAGACCTAAATATGTCTTATTGCTTCTGTAAATATGTGGAGTTTCCAGTTCTATGAGCAAGTACATTCTTACAGTAAAACTGAAAGAAACCCTTTCCACTGTTCGTGCCAGCCAGTGCTCATATTTGCTAACCTCCATCATGTTCGCTGTCTCTGTGGCGAGACAAACTGAGACAGGAGGTCTTTCAAATAAGGATGCGTTTGTCTATGTCATTATTGTCAGGTTTGTCTCATTTATTTTATCCATGGGTATTTGCTGCCCTACTGATGTTGTTTAGCACGATTTTGTGTTTATTTGCCCTCACTTTTGTGCATTGATCAACAATAATCTCCTGCACTTGTTTTGTAGCTTTTGTATGCATTCATAAAATGGGCTGTAACTTAAACCGACTGATAACAGTCTCATCTATAATGGGATAGGACAAGTTTTCCTGCATTTTGGCAACACCTTTTAGCGTAATCAGTCTGACGTCTTGACTTTATTGTCTCCAGTACCAGGTACACTGCTTCCTTATTATGCTCATTGTAAAGGTGAAGTCTGTGTTGTCCAACTTTGTATACTAAGTTATTGTTATCACGAATGACATAAATGACTCATGCATTGTCCTAAACAGCTCTGCTTCCTGGTCCATGGGGAATTACTCTAATCACCAACACAACTATGAGACATTGTTGGAGCCTACACGCCCTGGTGTTTTTCAATTTTAATCTGTTAATACGTATCACAGTTTTGTTCTTGTGACTTTGCAGGAATAAATACTTGATTGTAAAAGCAGAGTTTCCCAACAATGCGCGCCTCTCAAATAGAACTGGCGGCTCACTGGAGAAATGTAATTTCTTGCAAAACCCCAAGGTTGACCAACAATATTTCAGCCATAGCTGTTAATTTCTGCTTTTTTGACTTCCTTCAGAGAGGGAACTGGACATAACAAATGCAACTTTCTTGTGGTTTTGTTTGTTATGTTGCAAACATAATGATTTGCTGACAGAAAGATAAACCCTGCACTTTGTCATCAAGCAGACAAACAGATCTCTTATTAAAATTGATGAGATAAAAGTTCTATTATCTCTTCTGCATGAAAACTAATTATTTCAAATTTCCTTTTACAATAATACGACTCCACGATGTGCAAGAACTTTCTGAAAATGTACTGTTTTTGCAAACCCTTCAGTGCCTTGCTAAAACATACGGATGCATCATTTAAAGAAACCTCATAATTGTATTTTAATAGAAGTAAGTGTACGATGTGCAACCTATTCTTCAGCTTTTTTCAACAGTGCTGGTTAAAATTTGTCTATAAATAATTTTAAGGGAGGATAGTGTACACATACAGCTCCAGTTGGGTATAGGGAAGGACAAAAAGAGCAGGAAAGGTTGTCCAAACTGAAATTTGCCATGTTTGCCTGACAAAGACCTTTTGCATCAAAATGTTGCAGAAATAAAATGTGTGGGAGCTTGCAAATTAACTAATTTAAATTATTAATCTTATCTTTTGATTAAAATAATTTTCTTTGCTGATTGGTCAGTGGGACGACTCATTGCAGGTTCAAATCTCTCACCTCTGATTCAAAACATCCAGACAAAAGGAATCATAATTAAATCCATCATCTAAAAAGATCCTGTTGTCTGAGCTGTATGTGTTAGTGTGCTTGTCTACAGCGCCAATCTGGGATTAAATATATGATGCTGCTTTATTTTCATAGACAACTAGATCTTTTTAAGGTCTTTTTGGGCTTAAATAGTACATGAAGATATTAGGTTATGTAATATTTTCTCGAACATGTTTGTCATTTTATCAGTGACAGTTCATTATTGTAAGAAAGGTCTTTCACGGGCCAATGAACAGAGACAAATCTCTGTTCCTTGTTTGGTTGTCAGTGGTAATTTTGTGTGACAACCATGAAAAAGCCACCCTAGGTGTACCCACTCAAACAAACACGTACAGTTTCAAGGTAAACTTGTGTTTGACCGTATATCTGTCTTTCCTTTTCCTCATTGCACAACCAGACCTCATAACTACAACCTATTACTTATTTACCTACATTTGTCCAAGGCTAACACCTTTGGTTAATACAGCACTACTAACCTCAACCAGCCATAAAGTGTGACTGATTTAATTCAGAGGTCAAAGGCTAAAAAGATGGATAAATTCTTACTTTTGTGAAGTGAATTTTCTTCCTCTTTACAAAGACTTTCTCAAGTTCATCAGTTTCTGTGTAGTGAGGCCATTAACCACAACATGGCAACATCAGTAAACCTGTAAAAAAGAAAAAAAGAGAAAAAAAAGTCACTCCTCAGTTATCAACAAATTCTTACAAACTATTATTTCCAGTGAGAAAAGACTGGATCCAGTTATGTCAAATACTAAAATGAAAAGGGATAATGTGTTTGATTTATTCAATTATCAGTCTTTAAGAAGATTGTCAAAAAGTAGACAAATTATTTCTGTTTCTTAAACACATTAATATTCAAATAAAAAAAATTAAAGGTTTATTCAAATAGCTCCATAGGGAAATATTATTTAAAAAAACTACAAATATTAATAATTTTAGTGTGTTATGTCTGTTGTTGTCACCATGGCGATCACTATCACTGCTTCCAGTAGCAGCACTTGTTAGGCTATTTATGATATAGTTTCCAAAATCAGAGCATCAACCCTATCAGTTGGCCAGAAACAATAACTGATAAGAATAAGGGATTTTCTTCAGCACAGAGAGAAGGAAGAAGGAACTGCTCTTTACTGTAGCTTCACCTGGACAACCCCGGGGGCGAGGCCTCGGGACCTCACACTGAGTATAAAGGAGGTGACGATGTTTGTCACAACACTAACTCCAGATCTCCAAGAGCATCTGATATCTTCACAGCTGTCTCCTTAGACACAGGTAACTGTATTTCTTTGGATGCTCAAATGTTTTGTTATATGGTATTTAAGAAACATTTTAAAAACAATTTAACAAATTAAATTAATTTTTGTTTATTTGTTTAGAGATGCTTTTCTCTGTCCTTCTTGTGCTGGGCGTCTCCCTGGTGCCAGCTCACTCCAGTCCAACAGGTAGGCTACAACCTTCACACTGACGACATATTTCACCAGTGAAGTTTAAAATTATTTAGTCACAATTGAACAATTTAATGAGTTTGTTATTTTTTTGCAGAAAAATATCTAGGCAGTCCTCTCCTTCAACGCTGTTTTGAAGACGCAAAGAAACTCGTGGATGATGCGTACACATACTCCAGGGAAGAGTGAGTTCATTTTATGGGATATTTCACAAAATAATAGATTTTCTTTCAGATTTATTTAGCATAAATCTTCACTGAAGCTATTTCTTTGTAATGCAAGCCATTCATACAACAACTTCATAACTGTGTAGCAAACTGTGAGAAGCTCCAAAAAGATCACAACTTTCTTGTTCAACTGTGTGCGACTTTTCTCCTCAAGGAGTCTGAGACGAGTCCGCAGAGACGTGGTGAGTCCTCACGATGCTCTTCGTCTAATGAAGCAGCCTCGCGGTGACACACGCTCAGCTGTGAGATCTGCAGACTACATGGCACAAACCCTTCGCCTGCTGCACGACAGGGTGCATCATGTCCACAAACGCTCACTCAACGCAACAGGTCAGACCTGCAGCACTCAAACAAAGACAACGCATACAGACACACACACACACACACACACACACACACACACACACACACACAGTGCTCACATTGGTTTTTTGTGACAACTCTTCCTGGTCTAGGTTAAAGGTCGAAGGTTTACTGTGGGGATTGTGGAGCACTTGAAAGCTGTAATTAAGGTCTAGACATATAAAGTTGACAGACATGCACACACATTGTGAATCTATCAAACGTGTCTCTCACATATTTCAGATTTACTCTCTGAAGAGGACCTGAGAAGGCTCGCAAATATAACCGGATGCTCAGCTCGAGTCAGTCTTCCACAATGCCGCACCACGCCGAACCTTAACAAGTATCGCACCATCACCAGCATCTGCAACAACCTGTAAGAGAAACATTCCTTCAGTCTCATCGTCATTTTCCGTGATGTTGTTAAAACTAAATAAATATACTCACAATTAAAATAATAATAATCAACAAGAAGACAAACAGACACTACAGAACACAATTAAAACAGATTCAAGAGCAGAGTAGTTTTTAATGTAGTTTGGAATTAAATTAAATTAAAATGACCTATAGGTACAAGCCTTAAAAGCAACATTTTGTATTTGCATGCTGGACAAATGTGAAAAGATTCTGTTTTAAATACAAATTTTGTAAAATAAGCTTGCAGTTTTCTTTCTGTATTTTGACTTCTGTAACACCATCTTTGACATGCAAACATATTTTAAGGTGCAATTGTATAGTTTTTTTTCCCCAAAAAGCAATCTGTGTTGAATTAATTGAAACAGGGTCTGTGAGATTGAGTGGTGCTTACATTCAGAGGAAACGCTTGTGAAATACACCTAAACATCTTAGGCCATACACCACAAAAGATGTGTACACTTCCCTGGGATTTCTCAAGCAGTATTTCCAAACATGGACTCCTCTTGTTTCCTTTTAGAAATAACCCTCGCATCGGAGCCGCCAACACCCCCTTCACTCGTTGGCTCCCTGCTCAATATGACGACGGCATCTCCCAACCGAAAGGCTTCCTGAATCGAACAATCAACAACTTCTTGCTCCCACTGGTACGACCTTAAAATCCCAGACACTCGCTTTGATGAATGTACATAACTGCTTAAAATGAACACAATTCTCCTCCGCTCTCAGGTGCGACAAGTGTCCAACAACATCCTAAGCACAACTGACGCAGGTGTGGTCAGCGACACAGAATACACTCACATGGTGACGTTGTTTGGGCAGTGGAATGACCACGATCTCACCTTCACGCCGTTCTCCCCCAGCATCCGCTCCTTCAGCAATGGGGTGAACTGTGACGAGAGCTGTGAGCGAACTGAGCCATGCATCCCCATCCCGGTCAGTGTCAAAGCTCAAACCCAAACATTAAGATGTTGTTTTCATTAAAAGCTTCTCTCCCTAATCTTTGGCTTCTCTTTTCCTACAAACAGATTCCTCCTGGCGACCCTCGCTTGCCCTCCCGCCCAGACAGCTGCATCCCAGCGTTCAGATCTGCCCCTGTTTGTGGAACGGGATACTCAGCCTACAACTTTGGCGGCGACCCCAACAAGAGAGAGCAGATCAATGCCCTGACAGCCTTCCTGGATCTCAGCCAGGTGTACGGCTCTGAGGACAAGCTTGCCCTGTATCTTCGCGACCTCGAAAATAATGACGGCCTGTTGCGCGTGAATACAGAGTTCAGAGACAACAGGCGTGAGGTGCTGCCCTTCCACCCTTTGCAGGTGAACATGTGTGCCACTCGCGCAAGAGTCACCAACGACTCAAATGCCAGAGAAGTGCCCTGTTTCATCGCAGGTTAGTCATCTTGTGATTTCATTGCTGATCTATAAAAAGTAGAACAGAATAATAGAAACATGAATCTGTAGAGGAACACCTGTCATCAACTATTTGAACTGTATGTGATCTTGATGGGTACATTTCTGTGTATCAGGTGATGTCCGCGTGGATGAGAACATCGCTCTGACGTCCATTCACACACTGTTTGTGCGTGAGCATAACCGGCTGGCTCGTGAACTGAAGAGACTTAACCCACATTGGGACAGTGAGACACTCTACCAGGAAGCCCGCAAGATCATGGGTGCTTACACACAGGTAGCTAAACCTGAGAGCCTGTCAGCATTTATAATTCTATATTTATATTTCCAAAGCATGTGTCATACACTCCACTGTCTTATTCTCAAAATCTCTCTCTCTCTCTCTCTCTCTCTCTCTCTCTCTCTCTCTCTCTCTCTCTCAGTTGTTTGTGTTCAGGGACTATCTGCCACACATTGTCGGGGACGATGCGATGCGTAGACAGCTTGGCCGTTACCCTGGCTACAATCCCAACGTTGACCCCAGCATCTCCAATGTCTTTGCAACAGCAGCTTATCGCTTCGCCCACTTGGCCATCCAACCAACCATATCCCGTCTGGATGCAAACTACAGGGAGAATCCTCAGTTCCCCAGTGTCCCCTTGTTCAAGGCCTTCTTCACGCCCTGGAGAATCGTGTTTGAGGGTGAGCTTGACAGAGAAGTGCATTAACTTATCAGTAACTTTGTCTTAAACTGTCACCCTAATGTTTATTTTGTCTCTGCAGGTGGCATTGACCCTGTGCTTCGTGGTTTGATCGGACGTCCCGCTAAACTGAACACTCAAGATCACATGTTGGTGGATGCTCTGAGGGAGAGGTTGTTCCAGTTTGTGCAGCATCTGGCTCTGGACCTGGGCTCTCTCAACATGCAGAGGGGACGCGATCACGGCTTGCCTGGTACATCCCTCACTATACACCCTTCTTCTAATGTCTAATCTTTTTTTTAAAAGTCTGCATCCACTCTTTGCTCACTTGTTGTTTACTCCTCTAGGCTACAACGCCTGGCGCAGGTTCTGCGGGCTGTCACAGCCTAGGAACCAGGCAGAGCTCGCTCAGGTCCTGAACAACAGAGACCTGGCCCGCAGGCTCCTGCAGCTCTATGGTACACCCGACAACATTGACGTCTGGATGGGAGGCGTAGCAGAGCCGTTTGTCCGTGGTGGCCGTGTAGGGCCTCTGTTCGCCTGCCTGATTGCATCACAATTCCAGAGGATCCGTCAGGGTGACAGGTCAGTATGTGTGTATTTATAATGCATGCGTGGGATCTGAAAGCATAATATGTTTTTGTCTAAATATAATTAGGTGCAGTCTGTGGTGCTTTCAGCCCAGTCATATTTGTTGTTTGAACCTGTGGGGGCTTTTACCAGATACTACCACTGGGGGGCGCAAATTCTACACATAATGGATTTAAATTACACAGTTCACATGCTAATGTTGAACATTACATTAAAAACGTGTTGCTGTTGTGAATAGATAAACTAATGCATGTAATTGCAGTTGTACTGTAGTGATTAGTACACATGATAACACCCTGCACTACTTAAGCTAGACAGAGACAGAGAGGCAACAGTAACAACTATAATAGTAGAAATATGACTAATAATAATAATGATGATAATAATAAAATTGTAATTGTAAAAGTCTCCATAACAGCAAAATATGTATTTATTCTTCTTTGCAACCTCGTAAAAGTAGTTAGAAACAATAATAATATTAGCTGGGAGGTTTTGAGACTATCTTTCTAGAGTTGGGAATGAGATAACTCTGACTTTGTTGATTGATATATAAAATAAATGCATTTAAAAAACAATATGTCTCAGATGTAACTAATCTCTTCTCCCTGCTCCTCTTGTTTGAAATGATCAGGCTGTGGTACGAGAAACCAGGTGTCTTCACCCCCCAACAGAGAGCTGCTTTGTCCACTGCCACCCTGTCCAGGATCATCTGTGACAACACCGGTATCAATACCGTCCCCACTGATGCCTTCAACGTCCTCTCAAACAGGAACCGGCTCGTCAACTGCTCCAGCCTCCGACGTCTGAACCTGTCAGCCTGGAGGGAGAGACCCTGCACGGGGAACTCAGGTGAAATACCACTGGGGGGGACTAAGCATTTTTCATTCTGAGTTTAACCTGGTGTGTTTATCTCTTCTCTAATCACTTGTATGGAAATGGTTCTTCATATGTGGTGTTTGATCTTGCAGGCGCGGGTGATAGCTGTAATGAAGTCAGTGGAACAGAGGTCGGTTTTAAGCACTAACAACTGATAGTCAAATGTTAACATTTTAATAGCACAATGAAACTACACCTTCTTAAAAAGTGCAGATTCAAATCATTTATCACTTGTTGTCTTCTTGGTGAGGGTGGTCCTTACTAAAAAAGAGACCATTCATGGTTTACTAATACAAGCACATTTTGAAAAAATCCTGAAATTATGAGACTAGATTTTAACTTCTACATCTTCTTCATATACAGAATGTGAACGAGTCGGACCCCCAGGACCAAGGGGGCCTCGAGGACAACGAGGTAGTGTACTTGTTGTTGTACACACTGTCTGTTCAACCTTTTGAACATTGTATACAGTGCTGAATGTCTCCCAAATAGCTGAAAAAGGTTTAAATACTATAAATGTTTAACCCATACTGACACCCTATAACAAGTAACTTTACAATGAATGTGATTATAATAATACTTCATTCTGAATGCATTATTTTAAAAGCCACAAACAACAAAGGCTGTGCTCAGTTAAGACTAAAAAACACATTTCAAATATAAGAAATACATAAGTAGGTGGCAACCAGCTGAACTATGGGTAAAATGTTTAGAGATGGCGAGTTTACTTGTATACCGCCTTTCATTAAGGCAATTCAAAGTGCTTAAAAGGGCATTAAGACAAGGTATAAAGAGAAACACAAGGTAATGAGCATTCAAGATACTTACACAAGTACACAAGTATTATCAGCAGCATGTAGTTAAAGTAATAATAATTAAGTATGGTCATTATGCATAAAGAGGCTCCTTTCTTGAGGAACATATATTACAGGATTATTATTACTAATGCATTCATCTGTGAATGTGAGTTTGAGAGAAATTATGTTAGAAAAGGGTCTCAATTACAGACTGAAATGCCCCGATGAGAGAACTGAACAATGCATCATGTTTCAGAAGATCATACATTTTGTAATCTGCAAAACAACAAAAAAGTTAAAGATTTCCATCTATTTATATTAAATCTTGATAGTACTGTAGTATAAAGTAGTAAATACTCAAGTATAGTATCTCAAAAGTTTACTTGAGTACCGTAATTAGGTAAAAGTTACATTCTATCTCTGGATAATTCCTAACGAACAATGACTACAAGCCCACAATGTTAGTTTTTACAGCATTTAGAAGTAATCCATACTTTTGTTTCTCTGCAGGTCCACTAGGACCCCCTGGCCCGAGAGGCCCTCCTGGACTGCCAGCACTCAACATCAATGCCTCACAACCACAATCTGCCTTCTCAGTCCTTTTGGGCAAGTACTACCCATCCTCAGAGAGAACCATTCGTTTCCATCAGGTCTTGTACAATGAACAGAATCAGTACAGCACTAAGACAGGGCTGTTTACTTGCGCTACCCCCGGTGTCTATCAGTTCAGCTTCCTCTGCACGTTTTTTGTCGGTTCAGGAAGTGTGGACCTGTGGCATAACAAAAAGCTGGTCCTACACGGTTTCAAGTTTTATCAGGGAGGTCACCGCATGTTATCAGGGGACACGGTGCTCAGGCTGGAGACGGGAGACAAAGTGTGGCTGGACGCCACTGAAGGGACCACCGGCCTGAGCACCAAAAGCTTCTTCTCGGGACACCTGCTCTTCGCTGTGTGAAACAAACACTTCTTCTCCTGACTGAACCGCCACCCTCTAACACACCTGTGGTCTGTCTGCTTTAGGATCTCTGCACTGAGCTTCACTTTCCATTAATCAGGTCATGTGTAATATCTATTATTGATCATTCACTTCTTTTCTTTTGGGCCTACCGACCAGACTTGTGCACACCGTACAAACATTATAAATATTTTCTGACAAAAGAACAAATTTTACATGCTTTTAGCAGCCTCATTAATATTAAATGTGATTACAGCACATTTGTTAAACTCTGTTACAGCATGCAGTCCATTGGACCGGAAATGTATTTGATAGTAGGATTTACTTGTTTCATTAGGAAAATTTTATGCACTGATTGAAAATTGAAGCATATGTTTAAAATGTGTTGTGCTTGTGTCTATGAGGCTTGTTTTACTGTAACTTCTGTATCTGTTGTATTTTGCATTCAATAAATAAACTAAAGAAACTGAGCCGCAGCAAACCTGTTGTTCATGTGTTCTTATTTATGTGAATCACAAAAAAGAGAGAGAAGACTACTCAAAATGTAATTTAATGCTGTTAAATTTGGCAACCACAGGAGAGTCTGGAGTAATCTGTGTGTCAGTCCTAACCATAAGATCCTGAAGTTCTTGGTGTAAGAGGACTTCACAAAGCATTACACTAAAATTAGCTGAGAAGATAGAGGTAGGTCAAAGAACCTACTCACCTTGTTTTGCTAGTGCTTTGAAAAAGATACAACTCCTGAGCTTTTAAAACCTCTCTGGTGATGGTTAATAAGGATCCACTGAGTTGACCAACAAATCCAATAACAGTGGAGATGATGGCAAACACTGACAGTGCTGTGTGATTCATTACAGGGGAGAACATAATTAGAATTAATAACATGAATGAATGATAACAAATTGTATTTAATTTTCCATCTAGTTTGGCCTTCAGTGTTCAGTTGACCTTTTGTGTTAGAAATTATTATATTATTATATGTATATACATATATTGCATGTTTTCACCATAATGTCTCATTTGTCTCTTGGGACATGCCCAAAATTTGACTTTCTAGACATCGAACAGCATAATGCACTTACTGTGTTAGTAGGCCTATGTCATTTACTGACTGACACTGACTCAAAGTGAGTCTACAGTGACCATGCTGTGTGTGTTTACTACAGGTGCTGAGGAGACGGTGTCATTTCTGACAGTCAGTAGAGGGAACAGACAATCACAGCTCAACATGAAGGCACAAAAGTTGGACAGTTGATATCATCTCTCTCTCCAAATCTTGTTTTCAGATTTGTTGAGCGTGAAAATGGTCCTCAGTAGACCACTAATTATCAAGGGACACCTGCTGATGGAGGTTGGACAGTAACCATGCAGGTGAGACAACTAGACTGCTTCACTGATTCATCCTCTAAAAACCCTCAAACGCTGTATCAATTCATAAATCAATGTAACTTTTTGAGTTTAAAGGTATATATTTCAAACCATCCTTTTGGGCCTGTTGGAAAAACACAAATTTGGTAAAAACGTACTTTTACTTGACAATTTGTCCGTATAAAATGATCATTTAAATTATTTAAATATCCTGGGACAGGTGTGGAATATGTAAGTATGTCTGTTGGCTGATACAGTGCCTGAAGACGGGCACTGTGGGTCTTTGTTATAGTCCATATCTTTCATCAATGATGCGTCACTAAAGTCAGCATTTAAGAAACATACTTAAACTTTGTTAAAAAGTTATTTTTATCTTATTTTTACAAAGCTTCCAGTTCTACAAACTTTTCTTAGACGTAGTATCCATGCTGACCCAAGTAGTCGCCACAAGAAGATCAAGCTTTACTTTACATCTCAGAATATGTTTTTCTTTCAAGCAGTGATGTTAAACTTAAGAAAACAGCTCACTGAGTTTTGTTTTAATATTGACATCAGTAATCTAAATGGAACAACAAAGAAAAAAATTACTTTAATGGGAATACCTCCTGTAGATGGAGCTATCGTTCTTTCTTAAACAAAATAAACGTATGATTCATGTTGTGACATAACCCACTTATTCTGACTACAAGGCCTATAAAGCACTGCATCTAAAAATCATCATATTTTCGTCAAACTCACAGATGTCCTATTTCCATCTCTTTGTTTCTTAAGCATGCTTCCTCTATGTAAACAAAACGCAAAGTCTGATATTTCAAATTTTATAAAGAGACAATTTGGTAAAATATACATGTTTTTTCTCTGTTTTTGTTCCTGGGTAAAAAAAAATAAAAAATCTTCAACATCTTTGAAACTGTATTCATAAGATATAAAGTGGCTCAATTTACTTGCTATCAAACATTCACTCTTTCATTTATTGTGTTCACCATTTTAACCTTGTCATAGTTATTAAGGGTCACTTGAGGCCGTGATCAACCCACCATGAAGTGGAAATGGGTGAAGGATGGACAAACTAACACACTAACATTTACACCTGTGGTTAGCTTATTGTACGTTCTCCAGCCCACCTGGGCGGCACATGTTCACACTGCAGAAGACGTCCCGAGGAAATGTAGGTGAACATTTCACTGAAACATGCAAACTTTTTACAAGAAGGCTGAGATTTAAACTCAGGACGTTCTTGCTGAAGGGTGACAGTGTTAACCACGGAGCTTGTTTCTTTAAAGCAAACGTTCACTCTCATGTCTGTACAGTTAGCTTAGCTTAGCACAAAGAGAGGAAACATTTTGTTTAGTTTTCCAGTCTTTGTGCTAAGCTAAGCTAACTTGCTGCTGGCTATAGATCCATGTTTAACGGACAGATATGTGGTTTTAGATATTCTCTAACTCTCTAAAATAGCGAGCTATGCCTTTAATAAACTATCCTTTAAATGGTGATAATTTGACAATGTGTTCATGGCTTGTTTTCACTGCTGGCAAATGGCCTAAGAAATCCGTTATTGCAGGTTTAAATTGGTCTTTAGCTCACCTCATTTTACATGTGGAGTTTTAAGGCTTCCTCATAACAACACTGACACACAACAGATGTGGTGTGGTTTATGTTATTACCACAGTTTACACTGTTATTGTCTTGGCAAAGAGAGAGACACATAAATCACCGTTGAAAATAATTAACACAACATCACAAGTCAAAGAAGAGCAAATACATCTTTTTATTACTGGATTAACTGGAATTTCTCTTCTGCGGTTGTGGGATAACGAGAAGACACTGGGAGTGAAAAGAAAAAGGACATCTGCATGAATCATCACACAATGTAAAGTTTTCTGGGTTGTGTCTTGATAAAGTGCTCCTCCTCCTGGTTGCAGAGTCTATAGTGCATGTGCAGAGTGCCACGTAGTCCACCAGACTCTGTGTGTGTGTGTGTGTGTGTGTGTGTGTGTGTGTGTGTGTGTGTGTGTGTGTGTGTGTGGTACAAGCCCTTACTTGGTGCTCCAAGAGTAATGGAAACCCAGTATTTATGAAAGAGGAGAAAATATTTGAATTGTCTGTTTCTGTCATAGAGTTTCGAGCTGAGTTGAACCTGACCTTATTTGAATAGGCTGAGTTTTGCAAATTGGTGGAGGGAAACTCTACTACTCGAAGGAAATGAAAGAGAGTAAATCTAAGCATGTAAAAAGCTGTAAATGAGATTAACAGAAGCAGAGATGTTATGGGATAGAAGTTGCGGGGTTTAAGTAGAGGGATGCGATAGAAGAGTCATGGGAGTAGATTAGAGGACGTAGGCCTCGCCGTGGATGTTTTGAGAGATGTGTGTGGTCCTGTGTCACTGTGATGAGATCATAATGGTGACATGAGAATGAATAATTAAATGTAATGTAAATGTCTTTTTAAAATGATACTCCTGAAGTTGGCTGTTTAACAGGTTTTTAAGGATTCATCCAAAGTTGCAGCGATAAGGATGAATTACAAGTTCACGAAAGCATATTTAATCAAATATCTATCTGCCTTAAATCTAGACACTGGCTGCTCTAAATGCTTAAATGTAGGCTTCCCGTCTCGAGCAAAGAGCCGATGTGTGCCAGATGACTCAGTGATGGCACTGAATGATTGGTGTTGGTTTATGGTAAATATAGCATCATGAAAGGACGGAGATCTTTTTTTTGTTTTCCTCTTTACTCAATGACGAGCCTCATGCAAGAAAGCCCTGTCACTATTTTCCCTCCTTAGTCTCAGACGTGGATTTATTCAAATTCTTTAAGCTCAATAGAGTGCCCAAAAAAATCAGGAATGGGGGTGAATTCCAGCAACGTGGACAAAAGAACTCGGCTAATTCCTTGCAGATGTGTCTCTGGGCTGTGTGAGGGAACACTGCTGCCCTCGCTGGAGAGAAAAAGGACTCTGCATTGGAGAAAGTTCAATGAATTACGAGCTAAAAACATCGGTGACCCAGTACAGCTGGTTCTGACTGTCTGAATGGTTTTCCAGGAGAGAGAAAGGAGGCGAACCGGGAACACATAGTTTTCCCTCTCTGGAGAACCTGTTATGGTATGCAGAATCACAAGAGTGTATGTTAGTCATCCTCAAAGCAAAAAACACAATCACATATTACAGCTGTTTCATACTGGAAGCAAATCCTACACTTTTGAATGAATAACACTGCTAGAGGGCATCCTCTGAAGACAAAACAGGAAACACTTACAAAAGACAGATTCACTGCTGATGTTGCTTGGTGATTCAGTTTGGAAAGATTTTTTATTCACTTCTTATTCCTCTGCAACTGCTTATTCACAGTTTCACTAATGCGTCTGACAGTTTATCTGGATTAGGGAGTCGTTGCTGTTCTTGTTTCTTGTATCAAACGTTCCACACTTATCTTTAACTCTTGAACAACTCAAGTACAAGTCTGCAGGGAGGATACATTTTCAGGAGCTCATATAACTCAACGACCACTCGGCTCTGATTCGCCCTCACGGCTTACACAAGCTGAAGTCACGTGACTGTGAGATGATGTGTGCCCTCTTTTATCCAAGAACAATACAACTGGTTTAACTGTAATTTACAGCATGATTTAATCCGTGTACTCTACCATTAACAGAACCCTTTCACAGACTAAAGTATTTTTAGTTGGCTGTTAGTTCTTGATCTCTTTCTCAGCTACTGTTTGGGCAGAATAGATTTTTCACTGGAATCATAAAAGTTGATGTTAATTTATAAATGACCATCACAGTGTGTTTTTAAAGCTCCTCAAATCGTTTCATGTGGAGTATTTTTCAATAACAGTGAATATCCATAACTAAATATGCAACAATCAAAGCTAAACGTCCCCTTGTGGAGTTTCTGACCTCTAGTTTTGTTATGGATCAGTAGTTTAATGAGCTTTGTTTGTCCTAGTATTGGCACGAGCAAGCACGTGACATGCTATCCACAGTCCTGCCAATGGTCTTAACAATACAGGCTTCAAAATTTACATAGAAATTGTCTTTGCAAATGTAAAAAGTAACACTGAATGTAAATAAATAAAACTCCGCAGGGCACCTTTAAGATTTTGAAAAGAAAATCCATAGTTTGAATCCATCGTATTTATTAATCAATGAAATGTATTTGTTAGATAAAAACTAAAATTTCGATTCTCGATGGATCTCTGTCAGATCTGTTGACACCTGCCACCATAAAGCTCATCAGCTTATTGATGTGCATAATGTATAAATATGGGTGGTTTCAAGTCTTTCAAACATTCAGACCATTTAAGGTCAACAGTTGTCATTATTAAAAACATTTGTGGGAGTTAGTAAGTGGGGCCTCACCATCCTTCTGACTTTTTGGGGTTTTAAGCAGGAAGTGTCAGAAAAGTTACACAAGCAGAAAACAAGTGACATCAGATTTTGATTAAAATATCTCAACTCTGATTAATGAATAGTTTTAGCCCCTTAAAGAAAACTGTTTGGTCCTGTAGGATGACACCAATTAAAGTAAATGAGAAGACATGTTTTTCAGGTCTTTGAGACAGTGGTGCTCCAAATGAACTGGCTCATACGACGTGTCGCCTGACCACGTTTGAAGGCAAAGTGTTTAAAGCTGTTCTGAACAGCCACAGACAAAGTTGGAGCAAAGCATGTCGTTATAGAGAAAGATGAGACGTGATAATTGTTCAAATGACGGCACACATCTGTCTCAAAGGCATCGTGGTCTTGCGCTCCGTTGCACGTGCAAAAAGTGAGAGGAGTAGTGGTTTGAAGAACTGAAAAAGAGAGCTTGACAGAAATTAAAATCCTGCCTACTTACATACTTCCTCACATCCACACAGCTGGTCGGTCACTGCGTGAAGTGGGAGTGAACGTGGGATTGTCGGTTTAGGAAAGTTACAAAAATTGATGGATGCAGCCGCCCAGTTCCAATGTTGGAAAGGTGCTGTTCTGTCTGACAAGCAATTCGGATCAAGCATACTTACACCTTAAAGGAATAGTTTTACTTTCTGGCAAATACACTTTCTAGTGTAGAATAAGATGAGAAGATCGATACCATCTGTCTGTTAAATATGAAGCCTCAGCTGGTAAGGTTAGCTTAGCTCAAAGATTAGAAACAGGGGAAACTTATATCATTGTTGAATTGGTTGAAAAAAGAGTGTCTAACTGTTCCTCCATTTCCAGGCTAAGCTAAGATAACAGATAAGAGAATGGTATATCAATCTGCTCATCTATCTCTCCACCAGAAAACGAATAAGCAGATTTCCCATAATGTCAAACTACTGCTTTAAATGTTAGAGAAGCAGCATTGTGACCAGATGGTCACCAGTTCAGTCGTAGGCTTGACATGATACATTTGAGCAGTAAAAAGGGAAAAAACAGAGCCTGCCCCTCCCTCATTAAAACCACTGAGGTGCACCTGAGCAAGTACATTGAACTTGGAAGTTTCCAGGTGTAAAGGTGGGTAACAGTGTGAGAGTGAACAGGACGTTCCTAAAAGAAAAACCATCTCAACGTTACTACAAAAAGCTAAAATAAACTCTATATTAGATGACATTTGGCTCCATACAAAGACTCTTTTGGTGCCACCAGCAACTACTTTTTTTGGGTTTTCTAGACACTAGACACTCTCTAGACTCTTCCGCAGACAGAAAACATAATCTGAAGGAATAAGATAAGAATGTCTGAGAGAAGACCATAACCCTAAACAACTCCCTCATGTTCTGATAAGACAATAGCATGCAGCACTCCAATATTAATTGCTGCCACCTGCCCCCTAGTGTCAGGAAACGGGACACTGTAATTGCTTTTTTAGATCACAGTTATGTCACATAATGTTTCATATTATAAAGACATCCTCTCCATTTTTCAAAACAGAATTTGTGAAGCAAATTATTCGTTGCTTGAGGACTTCTACTAACAGCTCACAGTTGGTTGTACATATTCTTCACATACAATCCAAATGTGATGCTTTTAAGTCTGTAGCTCTCATAAAACTTTGTGATTTGAGAAACTGTAAAATCCTTGTGACCATTTGCTGTGGTTTAGCAGCCGCCATCCTGCAGTCAATTATGTAGATGCTAGAAAGAATTTCCTGGTTAGCTAAACAGAAGAAAATGAAGACCTTGGATTACGTTTCCCAAGCTATGCATTATACCTCTGGCAGGACAGTGATTTGACTGGGCAGCAACATATGACTTAAATTAATCAGGAGAGGAGCGTGGGGGTCACCAGTCTGCCACCAGACTCAGTAATGCAGATATCACGTAACACCACAGCCTCATTTTATTTATTGCTCAGAATACACTAATTATGACCTTATAGAAGATTACTGATAAATACATGTGATGAGGCGTTCACGTTGTCAGCAAAGCTCCAGTACAGACAGGAGTGAGGCGCGGCTGGGGTGGAGGGTGGAGGTTGGAGGGTGGAAAGGGGGGAGATGGTTTCCAAAGAAAAACTGAAAATGTTGCAGGACCATCAAGGAGTCATGTTTAGGTTTCTGAGATCCTCATATGAGAAAGTGGAGTGTGGAGACTTTTGGCAGAGTGTGTTGCAATTTGGTTGGGAGTTCATCCAACAGTCAGGAAACAAACTATTTATCATGAAAGTTTGTTGATCTGGCAGAGAAAGAAAATGTAGACAATATACAGTAGTTTCTAGGAAATGTGTGATATTATTCATATGCTATCAAACTAAGTAGGGTGGATTTCACAAGAGGGTTTGTGTCTGTTTTTTATACAATTGTTATGATTCAAAATGTGCATCTGTTTCCATTCTTGGTGATGAAGAAGATCTGTTTCACTGCTTGTTACTCAAACAGATTAACCATCTTTGAAAGGGCCAGACAGAGCAGTTATCAAACACACTTGGAAGGGCATGATCAGACATCACGTATCCATCCAGTGGTTATATGAGCAGGAGCGTCAGACTTGTGCAACAGATTCAGAAACTCCAAATGCTGAACTCCTCCTCCTCCTCCTCCTCATCTCACGGGACGCATCTGCAGGCTGCAGGAGCAGAGCGATATGAGTTTACACGGATACATTCAAACTTAAGCTTTCTCTTCTCTGCTCATTGAACATCCTTCAAATAGAGATGAAGGATATTTAGTTTAAAGACCAGTGGCAACCCCGGCTCATTTCAAACAATCGCTTTGTCACATTAAAATCGCCTTTAATTGAGTTCATAATGGGATTACGCATATTTGGCACGCCACTTTACGCATATGCGTGCGTCTATTGTTTTGTTTTCATCCTGCAAGATGCTCAGTCTCAGGAGGATCTGGGGGCACAACAGGGAGATAACCAAAGAGCGGGTCTGCGGCAGACGCTACAGTGGTCGCACAACGGCAAGATTTTTAGCATTTTAAGCCAGGGCTCGGAGTATCAGCCGCCGAGGCGAAGGGGCGCACCGCAGGAACAAGTGCAAGCGCGACCTGTCACCATCATTCGTGATGCGGGCGTAGGACATACGGACACCTCCAGCCAGCCGGTGGCCCAGCAGCAGCAGCAGCCTCCCCGGCCGGCGTCCAACCCGCACAGCCCCGGTGGCCTCCCGCCTCCACTCCAAAGGCTCCTGAGAGGACAAGATCACCGCCAGCATCACCGTGACCGCCCCGGTGAGCGCAATGGGACGCAGAGGAGCAGCGGAGCCAATGAGACCCAGGAAAAGGTCACTGTCAGTCCGCCCCTGCCCAGGAGAGAAGACATGATGGTCGGCGATGATCCCTACGACCCCTACAAGTCCACTGATAGTGATAATCCGTATTACAATTATTATGATGTTTACGAGAGACCGAGGCCAAGAGCGAGACCCGGATATGGCACCAGGAATCATCAGTACGGTAAGAGTTTGCTCTCAAAACAACATTCAGGTCAATAATGAGGTAGATATGACGCATGAAGTGGTGTTTAGGATGCTTAAATTCTTCTATATATCAAGTCTATCAAGCAAGCAATCAGTTAATAAATGAATCAGTTAGTGTGTCTCTCTTTGCCTGCATGTGTATTTCCTATCTGTTAAAGATAGAGAGTTTATATGTGTTAAAAATATTAATTTAATGATTTATGTCAATTTATATGTATATGTTTTTATGCACCACTTTTATCATATTATATTTGGGTATAATTATTACTATTATAATGTTGTTTTGGTGTTTTAGGTCTGCCTGATCTCGTACCTGACCCATACTCCATTCAAGCCTCTGCTTATGCCCAGAGAGTCCCAATGTACAACCTGAGATGTGCAGCTGAGGAAAACTGCTTGTCAAGGTAGACTGCCGTCAGGACTTACCCACATGGAGAAAAAAAAAGCACGGTTTGCAGCCAAGTCTGAGTGTGATTCAGAGAGCTTTGAGCCATAACAACCAACTAAAGTGTTTGTGGGTGAGGGCTGCCCAGTGGAACCATGAGGTAAAATGAATCTGCCACTGATGGTGCAGAGGGGTGGAGCGGTGGATTTCTGTAAAGTTTAATCATAGTTCGTCCGAAAAGAGAAAGCCCGAATGGTAAACACATTAACGAAAACCAACCCAAACAACCACGTGCCTTCAAACTATTTTTCCACCCACCATTTACACATAGACTGCCTTCACTCAGACACTCACACTCTGCTCCACTCAGAGGAGGGCATGTAGCAGGAAAAACAATCTGAGTGATGTAACTGTGTCCATACATGACCTGTGTTGTTTTTGTGTGCAGCTCAGCCTATAGATCCACTATTAGAGACTATGACACCCGTATGCTGCTGAGGTTTCCTCAGAGAGTCAAGAACCAGGGGACGGCAGACTTCCTACCCAGCAGGCCACGTTACTCCTGGGAGTGGCACAGCTGTCACCAGTGAGTATAATGTCATGTCAGTGCTGTCCACCTCACCATCACACACTCAAAGAGTCTCTGTGACTTGTGGCTCGTCTCTTGCATCATTTGTTCTCTCTGGCCAAGAAGCTGGCATCAATTAGAGTCATTTGCATGAGGATTTCATGCATGAATATATAAATCAGATCTGGGTTTTTAAGCTCTGAATGCAAAGACGTGCATCTGAATCAGGTAAGGATCAAAAAACATTAAGACAATGCGTTATTCACAATCTTTTAAGAGTTTGAATCAGAGACGGAAAATGTTCTTTGCACACTGCAACTCAAAAGGTATGTTAAGGATCTTAGTAGTTGTTTTGTAATTTTGTTCATGAGTTACAAATATAAGCAACCAATGGTTTCCAAGAGGAACTATTTATCAGTACACTATCTGTATTTTCCAGTCTATTGTTGTGGTATGGCACCCCCTGTTGAACCACAGTTGTGTTACTTTTGGCAGTTTTATAGTTTCTGTTGGCTGTTTTATTGCTTTGACATCTTATCATGAGTTTTATTTGTATCTTTAGGCTTTTAAAGATGTAATTTTCTATTTTTACAATCTTAGCATAAAGATTGTAAAAACCCACATCGGGGCCTTTTCAAAATATGATGTGACAGAACAAAATATGACCTTTGAATTCAGTTAATTTAAAACTGCAAATCCAGACACTGTAAAATAAAGTTGTGTGATGAAGATAGTGAGCCAAAAAGGAAAACCGCGGGTATTTTTGTTTCTTCATTGAGCTGGTGGAAATGTGCCTGGTTTTCCTTGATTCTACAGAAACTACCTCAGTCCATAGTTATGTTGTGAAACAACCAGTCCACTGTGCTAATCCCCAAGATGGAGCACATTTGGCAATGATCCAATAAACTGTTGATGTAGACTGTATAGATTATTTTTCAGGGCTTTGAAAGCTGAGTGATGTTCAAAACCAGATTGTTTCTGTCTCATTAAACAAACTCTGGCTTTAGGATAATGGAGTGAAAGCAAATTCAGATTCATTGCAGTTTTATAATAAATAAAATAAATAACTGTGAGGTTTCCAGTCACAGTGACTTGCAGTCAGAATCAATGCTGGTAAAAGTCCAACAAAATGTATTTAAATGTTAATCAGTAAGTGTATAAATGTCCCTGGCCGGTCTCAACATGACAAACAGTCCTACATTAATGTGGACCTCGGGTCGATATAGATTAAAACTGATGATGAACACTGCTGTTGCTGATCCACAGGCACTTCCACAGCATGGACGAGTTCAGCCACTACGACCTGCTGGATGCCACCACTCAACACTCGGTGGCTGAGGGCCACAAGGCCAGCTTCTGCCTGGAGGACACTTCCTGTGACTACGGCTACTACCGGCGATTTGCCTGCACTGCACATACCCAGGTCTCAGAGATACATGCTGAAAAGTGAACTGTTAATATGTTGTTGTTACTCACTTTAAAGCTGTTTTTTTATATATATTATTATATTATATAATATCATATATCATATTATTATTACTATATTAACAATAGATCACTTTGGGTCGCTCAAACAAACCCACAGAGAATTATCATCTGATACTGCAGTTCTTGTCAGCTCTGCGTTTATCTTCTTTCAGCTCATTGTATGGTTTTACAGCCCATGACTGTACGGTTTTGGTTCGGTCTTGGTGCTCTCATCAGGGGAAAAAAAGACTCTGTGCTACCTACTTAGGTTAGTTAGCAAGGTAGCAACTAGCTTGTGAAAATAGAGAAGCATTTATCAGCTAAAGAGACAGATATTTCTTTCAGGAGTTAGTGGAGACAGAGCTAAAAGAAGCTACTTATCCAGTAAGCTGTAACCCTTTAATATACATACATGGAGACACCATATTATTATTATTTTTATATAAAGAGAAGACACTAATCTAATAATACACATATTACATGTTCATATTCATGTTTTCCTACTGTGACCTGTCAAAATCCCTTGTCATGGAAAAATGAGAGTCTGTTTCAATTATTAATGCTGCAAAATAAAAGCCAGTTCAGAAATAGAGAAAGGTTTCTAAAGTTGGAAAAGGTGAGTGGAACTAAGAAAAACAAGCTCTCTTTCACTGAGGCAGCCGTCCTTTAGAGAACAACTGTAGTATTTCCTTTTGCACGAGCCAGTGGTGATGGTGATTTAATGATTTCCTGTTTCTCCGGCAAAATGATCCCACTGGCCTGAGTGTCTGTGATCAGTTGTGTTTTTTTTCCCACCCTCTTCTTTCTCTTCTTGCTGACATTGCGTCCAAATAATCTCTAAGACTGAACCAAAAATACAGTTTTAATTGATATTATTATTATATCATTTTAAGCTTTTTATTCTTACCTTTACTGTAATAAATTAAGCTCTTTGTTAAAGTTTCTATATGTAAAAGGGCCTTATAGTGTTTAATAACAAGTTGTTTGTTTATATAATGCTTTTAATGGATGCTGTCCAACATGCAGGGCCTGAGTCCAGGATGTTATGATACCTACAACGCAGACATCGACTGCCAGTGGATTGACATCACAGATGTGAAACCTGGAAACTATATCCTCAAGGTTTGTTAGAAATACCAGATGACGTTTGGCTTCCTCCTGAGACACTAAACCCTTTTAAAAGAGTGGAATCACATTACATTCATCAACATTTGATTCTAGTCTTTGCTGTGTTTTTATCTTTGAGTTATTCGTTCATATATTTTTTTGTAATATGTATCTTGTTGTTCTCCACAGGTCAGTGTAAATCCGTACTATCAGGTCCCAGAAAGTGACTACAGCAACAACATTGTGCGCTGTGACGTTCGCTACACTGGCAACTACGCCTACCTGTCAGGTTGTCACATGTCGACGTAAGTGTCTCATGTTTCATGTGACAAATAGTTCTTTGATATTTTTTGTGTCCTCCATTGTGATCCTCATGGTGTGTTTGTTCTATTTTTATCTCTTTTTTTCAGGTATTAAGAGTTGACAGTCGTTCACAGCGCGCTCTGTAAAGGACAATCAAGAGGACTGCATATTAAAGCATATAAAACACCTGGAAATAAAATTTAAATTGTAAGTAATGTTGTTTACGATTTAAAATAGTCCCAATTTAGGAAAATAAAAAGTAATCTGACGTCATAGTGTCAGATAATGTTGAATTCTTCTTTGTTTGTGTGGGAAAGCAGTTTTTTTTCTCCTTACAAATAAGTATATTCTTATCTCATCTTTTCTGTATGGTATATTTCTTTTGCATTGTACTGTATGCTTGCGTTTCATACCACTTGTAAGATAGTGACAGAATGAAATCCATGAATTAGAAGCTTAGAATAGTAAAATACAAATGTAAACCAGCTTGCCCTCATTGTTAAGTCATTATCAATTATATCACAAGTTTAAAATGAACCAGCTGTTTAAAGGAAAATGTATTTGTTATATTTATAAGCAACGGAAGGCTTCAAAGCTTTTGGTGAAACTTAGATGAATAAAACGTTGAGAAGTGACCTCATTTTGACTTTTTCTGTGTCTTATTGTCTTCACACACACTTAATCACAATTACAGACGCACGCCATGAAAAGGGTGAATATAAAAGGTTAAAACTAATGATTATGTTCTTCACAGATTATGATTATCATTATCATTATACCAGTTCGTAGAGCCCAGTGGTAACAATCTTCACGTCATATAAAAGAGAGAAAAAGAAGCAAACTAGAAACTGTGAATTTTTTCACAATTTGTGAGAGAAACAAACAAATAAACAAACAACAAACAAAACTGAAGCACCAGAGGCAAAGATATTCTGACTTTCAGTCCCTATTAAAAGCTCCAAAACACTTGAGCCTACATTTCCCATAATGCAACTTGATAGAATCTTTCATTAGACCCTAACCCTGCCTGGTAAACACCCACATCTTTAAAACCTCCCAACTCCAGTTTTGTTGCTCGGATTTTCGTAGTTTCTGAGTTTGCAGCGTCCATTACCCTGATGACATCACTATGACATCACCAGGGTCATTTTTTGTAGACTTAAAGAAAGTTTCGACAGAGCGGAAGCACATTACTGTTCTCATAAACTGAGTAAAACCACGACTAGTAAACTGTTCTTGATGTCTAAAACTGGAGGAATGCCCCTTTAATAAGGAGTCATGGACATTTTTTTATTATTGTACAACACAAGGTTGTAAAATGAACTGAAAGTTTGCAGTTTCTTCATGGTACACACATAGAAAAACATGATTAAATTCATAGAATACATATAAAATGAAATAAAACAGTTAATTATATACATACACGTTTAAACCCAGGAAATAATTCTGCTCTACATTTTTTTTAAATTTAACTTTAATTTGAATTTAGGTTAAATCTTTTTAACAATAACAGTTTATTGATTGCAGGTGGTTTGTTTGCGGTCGACTGACTGACTAACTAATAGTTTCAGCACTAGTTAGCAGCAAGTTGGTTTATTCAGAATTACTTTGACCTTGTTGTTGCTCAAACTATTTGGTTGCAGTTGTTGAGCTCACTTGCTTAAACCTGCATTAACTGAGTTTTGGTCACTTGGGGGGCAGCGACAACTGTAAACTGACATATTTTAACTCATTTACATTTAAATGGGGAATTTGTTAGCAAATAGATGTTTATTGACACATCCAGAAACATTCATTTGAAGTTGTGTTTGATGCCACCTGATGTACCGATGGACATATTTGGCTCTTTTCGCTGCTTAATGCTCCACTATGTTAACAAGGTATCAGCTGTTCGGTGCAGAGTAACAAAGAGTCAAGAAATACAAAAAACTGAAAGATGATCTGTGGGGCTGAGGAGAAATGTATGAGTTGGTTCATTACTAGGATAAAAAATACTGAAAGAAGCTGCTTTAAGAGGGGCAGGGAGCGTACGATGGGCTGAAAGAGTACGTCCATGTAGATTTAATTTGAATGTATTAAATCCAACAATATTCTGGATTTGTTATATAAATCATGTGTTGGAAATCTTATCTTTGTATGTCCAGTGGGGAGTTTTGTTCCTTTTTCAGGAAAAGTATGAAGATGACAAAAACACACAATTCGTGTTTGTATTATTATTATTATTATAAATGCTTACATCATGTAAAATATGGTATACATTTAAAGTTAAAGTTAAAGTTACTCATACTATAATTTATCTCATAATTAGTGATATATTTCGTAGGAGAACTAAATATAAAATGACCCATAAAATCCCAACCTGGTCATTGTCAGTATCCTCCGCTCCACCAGGCGGCAGCACGGACACTGTTCTCATGTTGTTCCAATCCATGATTTCTTTTTTTTTATGAGGCTGTCTGCCAGAGAAACTGGAGTAAACCACCAGCAGTGTGTGTGTGTATGTATGTGTGGTTGTGTGTGCCATAGGATCAAATATTACCTATAAAACAAGTCGAAATGCATCCAGTCAGAGTGTCGATCCCGTCGTTTCGCTCCGAGAACAACTCGATGGAGAAAGGATACACGGTGAGCTGCTCCATAATAATAATAATAATAATAATAATAATGATAACCTCTGTCTGTCTGTTTGTCTGTCTGTGTCGGTCGTCTGCTCTGCTGCTGTCATCAGTTTCTCATTTTAACTCAGGTGGTGTTTCTGCACCCGATAAATAACAAACTGTTTAACATCAAACAGCAGATGTTAGTGTGAGTTAAAGGGTTGTTGTTGTTGTTGTTGTTGTTGTTTTCAGTGCGTCAAATCAGCCCTGAACTCACCTTGTTTTTATACACTGTAAACATTTCAGTGTTCAAAATCACCTGATTTACTAAAACCTGTATTGGCTGATTGAATTTGTGTCTAAATAGAGACACTGGGAATGTGAAACGCAGTTTTCTAGAGGATCCCTGCTTTAAATAAACACTGATTTTAAATAAAGCTTTATGAAATCAATCCATTGTATACAGGAACCTCATATTATATTAATGACCCCCCCCCCTTTAAAACCCCTTTTCTGCTCCTTAAATTTCCCTTTAAAGGGGCACACCAGCAATTTCAGTGATCTACAGGCTTTTATTTCTTCAGGTCAGCCTCCAAAAACACAATTGATCCGACGTTTCCCATAATTCATTTGAACTCCAGTACCTCCACTCAGGGTACTTCCTCATACCGGGTACTGACCCGATCCCTTTTCCCTCTTTTTTTCCTGAATTAAAAAGAATAGTTTAGCTTTCTTTGAGTCAGGCTAACTGTTTTAATGCTAAGCTAAGCAAACCAGCTTCTGACAGCAGCTTCATATTTACCGTATAGACTTTAAAGCGATCTAAATCCTCTCATCTAACTCTTGGAAAGAAAGCAAATAACCTTTATGTCCTTTAAATTCTGCATTCCTCACATATAAACTGCAGTTCCTGTGACTGATGGTGGAAAAACACAGAGTTTTTGTAATAACATTGACAAACAAACTGTATTTAATGTGAGTTAAAACTCTGAGCTGTTCCAGGATTTGTTAATAAGTCTCTCTTGCTGGCTCTCTGTGTTGGGAGATCTCACCATTGACGTGTTTATGTTGCCAGTCAAGAATTGCATTTCCACCACGGCCTGGATTTCCTCTTTTTACATAATGCTGGCAGACAGCAGTTTATGCTGTATCTGCAGCTTTTACGGAAGAATCCAGTTGAGTGAGGGAAGTCTGTTTAGGGATGGTATCAGTAACTCTGACAGATCAAATTGTTTTCTACTACAGCAGCCAGATGTTTCCTGTTGGTAACCAGCTGACTTTGACTTTAACCGACTCTGCAGTCAGTCACACGCTGACTGCGCTGGGAGGGGACGTCTGTGACTGATGGGCTATGGTGATAAATCCCTAACTGACTCAACCGTTTCCTTTCTTTCAGGTCTTTAAAATTGACGTGCTGATGAATGGCAGGCAACACACTGTTGAGAAACGCTACAGTGAATTTCACGCTTTGCATAAAATGGTGAGATTTGGTCCAACCCCAAAGTTTATGACCATTTCTAGGTGTCCAGTATTAAAGTGTTTAAGTCTTTAATAAGTCTGTTTAATTATTTAAACTCTGATATTTGAGTTGTAATAGCAGTTTAATGTCCGTGCTGTATTGTATAAAGTGCTATAACGATTGGTCTATTAATTGTTCAAATGAAAATGCTTTGTGGCTTCCAGTTTCTTCAATATGAGCTTTTTCTCATATCATCATGAACTGAATCCATTTGGGCTTTTTTTCATCCGTTCTGTCAAATAAAGCAATGGGAAGATGAAGAAGTTTGGGCTCTACTGGCTTCCATCTTCAATCTCTGAGATTTTAGAGACTAAAACATTAATTGAGTAATCTAAAAAAGGACAATACATCAATGAATTGATAATTAAAACTCAGTCACTGGTTGCAGCTCAAAGTTCAGACGTGTGTTGACATGCAGAGTGAATCACAGCAGCAAATAAATACTTAATGTGTTTACCACCGGTTTGTTTGAGGTAGTCCACACTTTGATTGATTGGTGCGCCGCTTTCTGTACTGGGCTTTTTCCACAGGAGACATTTGGACACGGCGGGAAAAGCACAGGTGTAAATACTCAGATTCAAGATGGCTGATTTCCATTAAGATGCTTCAGTTTCAGGTTCCTGGTGTTGTTCATGCTAGCTGTCATGACTTACTGGGACACTTGAATTGAACAGAGCAATTTTAATGTTTTTAATAACACCTGTGCTTTTCCTAATGTAACAAGTCAACATGTCTGCTGTGAAAAATGTCAATTATGGTTCAGAAATGCTGGGTTATTATTAATAACATATGCTATTAGAGCTTCTAGCACGGCTGTAGACTTTAGTTTTTCCTGGTCTACCTGACCTGATCTGCCATGTATATTATTGAATTATTTTGTTGTTATATCCCTCCAGCTAAAGAAGAGCATAAAGCCACCTGAGATCCCTTCAAAACATGTTAGAAACTGGGTTCCCAAAGTCCTGGAGCAGAGGAGGCATGGTCTGGAGCTCTACCTGCAGGTACTAAAGATAACTGGATAAAGAACAAAAACATTTTCGTTGTATTTGAAGTCAGTATCACAACTGTTTTCTTCCTAAATACAGATTTTGTCTAACCCTAAGTACACATACAAACTGCAGTACAGATGTAGGGCGACTAAACAAACTCAAACTGTTGCCCAGAGAAAGGTCAGCTGTGCCTCATGCGCACATTGTAATTTGCTTTTGTTTTGTCTGTTTTGTCAGACTATAATTATGGAAAATGGGGTTCTTCCAAAGATATTCCTGGATTTCCTGAATATCCGCCATTTTCCTTCAGTGCCAAAAACGGAAAGCTGTGGGTGAGTTGAAACTGCAGGTTTTCTATCAAATAAAAGACCAATTTGTGGCCCTTTTTTTTTTTTTTTCTCTTTGATGAAGTTTGTTCCCAGGATACTGAAAGACTTTTTATATTTTTTCTCTAAGGTCGTTCGATACAGAATCAGAAGAATCAAGGTGAGTTGTTTTGTTTCCTGTTTTCAGTGAATATATTTTAAAACCTGCAGGTCAGATTCTCGCTTTGTACCATTTTGAACCGGTTTGAACTGTCACTATTTGCTCTCCACTTGAACTTCACCCTGCGTGTCAGTGACACCACCTACGTTTCTTCATCCTGTTAATTTATATGCAGCATGTAGCCGCCCACAAACCTTCTCACTTCTCCTTTTTGGACTCTTCTCAGTAAACTTTCACACCAGCCAGTCCTGCTGTTTCTGAGAGACCCCTACCTGCTGCCATCTGCAAACGGTGAGTTCATGATACTTACACACATGTAATATCATAATATCCCAATTAATTAATCATTTTAATAGGAATTTAATTATTATTTGTGTTAAATGTACTATAACACTAATGTACAAATCCTTTATCCTTTCATTTGAAGAACTTTCTCTTCTTCTTTCCTTTCAGATACATTTTCAAATGTTGTGATTGAAGGTGTGATACATGGAGTTTTCTACCCAGATCTTCAACCGAGGTAGAGCCGCAGAGCCGAGGCTGAGAGCATGTCACCACAAACGGATGCTCCATATTTTCACACCATTTTAGGTGTGCATCAAGAAGAACATAACATGTTACACTGAGCCTCATTTTCATCTTCCAAAGCAAAACAAAAAACAAAAAATCCATTTGAAAAAAAAGATGCCTAATCTATCAATAAACCACTGGCACTCCATTTTTAAAACATCCATTGACCTTACACTAAGAAAATTCTGCAACAGTTGTTCTATTTACCCATATTTCACTGGGTTTGTACTCTTTGAATCGTACTTATCAGCTATAAAATGTAACTAATTGTGAGTTTGGCTAGTTAATGTAGATGTTTTCAGGCTATTAGAATAAAAAGTGTCGAAGAATAAGAAGATTATTTTCAGAAATTGAAGAGCTTAATACCTCGTAATAAATTAACTTATATTTTATTTTTTTTTCTTAAGAAAGTAAAGAGTGAAATAAACACAGGATCAACTGGAAACAGAAGTAAGAGGCAGATCAAAGTAGAGGAGACCTGAAGGTTTTTTTTTTTATGGCACTTTAACTCTGGGAACCTAAAAGGAAATGCTGATGGCAGCTGGACTGATGGTGCCAGACAGGAGGCCTGTAAGGACAAAGCATAGGGCTGGAGTGTGGAGCTGGATCACAGCCTACAAACAGGGAGGTGCCACTCCCTTTGTAGCAGCAGTGCTGCAGTTTTTGGATTTGTTCTGAGCTGCCAAATTGAGCCATCTGAGGCAGACCAGTGTGGAACAATTTCAAGGCTGCACTCGGCTGGAGTTGACAGATATGTGCCACATGTCAGTGTGGAAATGATTGGAGCTTTATTGGTAGGTTGAGGCAGTGATGTGGACCTCTTTTATTGAGCATCAGATGTTTGTGAAGGAGTACTGTAGTGTTTACGGTGGTGCTAGTGAAGAGCTACTGGAAGAGCAGCTCAGTTTGATCAGGTGATGAGCCTGCTGTTTTTGGCACAAAGCCTATTTGAAAAGTACCCCGACAGTCATAAATATGTGACACAACCTGTGAGTGAGGAAACACATGCTTAAAGGTGTAGAAAACAGATGCTGACAGAGAAAAAAGACACGATTTTTTGGTGTTGTGTCCCTAATGGTGTTTTTATCGTCCTCAATAAAATTATATTATCAATAGTGGGGGGGGGGGTGTGGGGGGGTTTTGGTGGGTTGGGGGTAATAAGGTAGCCCAAGGCGCTGCCAAGAGAGAGAGGAGCTATAGAGGTTTGATAAACTAACTTCTCTTTTTCCATTTTCAAACTCTTCAGTCTTCAGCCCCAGCCGACACTGACTCATAGTGACATCACTTGAGGCAATTTATCCGCTCCCTCTGGAGTCCCAAAAGGCTTTAAACATCTTTTTTTTTTTTTACATATGCAGCAGTGCTCCTCAAGACCTGTGAACAGACTTTGATGTGTAACATTAGTGGAGTTTCCCTTTTTAAGAAAGAACTAGAGTGAACTTACGGGCACTGCTCCATTTTTTATTTATGCCTCCTGGCTTCCTTCACTTTCCTCCTCCCTCTTAAAGCTCCTCCCAGATGTAGTGGTCCCTGTTTACACTACAACATTTTAAGCCTTTGTTGTGGTTTTGCCTTTCGATCATACTTTTGAAGCCGGGTTCCAGAGTGCAATCTTTTGCAAACGCCACCCTTACTGTCGCCGTGAAAACTGGCAATACACCCTTGCTGTGAATGTTGCCAACACAGACCCACTTTGCGCATGACTTGTATGTTTTCAGCCAAGGCACCATGCCTCTAAAATATTTGTGTATTTTGACTGGCATGATCAAAATGGTGGCGTTCTTCTGGAGTGCTGAGTTACAAAGTGACACCACCGCCTACTGGCCTGGCAGTAATACGAGAACATCCGTGTGCATGAGGATCGTTTTCCCAACGATCCTCATGAATGCAGAACCTCAAATGCAAAGGACTAACTTTTCTGTTTTTAGATGAGCCGTTGCCGTAGAAACAGGGCCTTAAAAGTATTACATTAAAGAAAATAGCTCCAGCTTGTGCAAAATAATGTTAACTGAAGAAAAATAAATAATTCTATTATCATTAAATCAAAGCACAAATCCCTCTTATTACTGTCCCTCCTGTTCCTGTTATGTTTCCTCAAATCCCCCAAAAAGTTTGATTTTACGCACACGAGTATGAAACAAGAGTTCTGATAACGCTTGCTAAAGGCCAGTCTTTAATACTAACACCAGCCATGTGAACACTTAATGTTATATTTACACAGAATACAGAAGGCCAGTTTTTCCACACGAGGTGATTAGAGGCATAGTCACCCGTCACTTAAAGGGATGCAAAGTGTGTTTTGTTTTATTTGTTAAACGAGAGGTGGTGATTTAAAAGACTTGCAACCAGTAAAACACTGTGCAATATGACATAAAATACAAATCTTTATATTTTTTCCTTGTGAACGAATGTCTGTAAGAGAACAAACCATCTCCTGTTGTGAACAATTGAAATGACTCCTAGCTTTTGTGAAACATGATGTTGCATGGTCATTTCTTGGGCAGTAATTGAATGATGACACTTGTTAAGGACCTCCACTACAGCACAGTGACAAACTACATACTGAATTTATACTGAATTAATCTTGAGCAAGTAACCTCAACTAAACAGAATCATGATTTCATGTTGTAACAAAGTAAATCATTTCATAGAGTTCCACCGTGTAGATTTATATGTATTTATATTGTGTAACATTGTACTGTTTGTGCTCTATGTGAAAAGTGTCATTCATGTGCCATAACGTCAAACCTACAGTGAACACTGGACTTCTACTGTAGCACTTTAAGCTGGGCGATATGTAAAATACTGACACCAATAAAATTCATTATTTCCACAAACTTTGTTGTTTTTATTAAAATAACATGTTTATTGACACCATCAGCTCTTTATTAGAAAAGTGACTAGAAAAGGTTGTTGATGGACAAGCTAACAACTGTTTTGTATTTCTGTCAGTCACTTTTTTCTCACATTACAGGATTAGCATAAAAGATCAAAGAAGTATATTCCCTATAAACAGGGTAAATCTTCATATTCTGCTGTATATTTGTAAATGGGCTTGAAATTAGAGCAAATTTACCAACAGGAAGAGGAGTTATCGACCATCCTGATCAAGTTCATGTCAGTATGTTCGCCAAAATCTGTCCCCTTGAAAATTAAAACCATTCAGTAACATGCTCATTTGTTCACTTTCATTCAAAACAAAGAACCATTTAAATAGCAGCAGATCAGATAAGGCAGACTTCATCTGTCATTAAGCTTTTTTTGGTCATGTCACCCAGCCATAATCGCAATTATAAAATTCTTAAGTAAAATTTAACAACCAGGAAATGTAGTCTTGCACATCTGATAACATACAGTATTGTGGTTTTGCTGCAGCTATCACAGAAACAGGCCCTTTTGCATGAATTCAGATTCGTAAACAAACAGTAGAACAAAATACTGACTTTTGAAATAATCAGAAATTATGAATATTTCAAAAGCATAGAAAAATTGTAATCCTTTGATTCCTGGGCTGCAATGTCCCAGTAACAGTCCACATGTAACAAAACACACACATCTGTTTGCAATGTGTGATCCAGAGTATTCTTGGTCCCAACTGCAGCTTTAAAGTTCTCCATGACCGACTTCATCTTTCAGCCGCTCGTCCTGGTTGCCATCTGCCTGAGGTGCTTTCATGTTGGCGAAGGCAACTTCTCTTGTCAGCTGTTCGAGAGGAGGGAGACCCACCGCCAGGTTTCTCATAGCAATGGCTGTCATCAAGAATCTAAAGGGAGGGAGATTAAATGAGATACAATCACAGATTTATTTAGTTTTCAGTGTAAGTAAAACGAAACCTGGCATGTTATTGTGCTGCTACAGGACGACACTCACCCCCTCCGTATCGTGTAGTACTTTTTCACTGCAAAGCGCTCTAGCCGCTCCAGCACGCCAGCCTCCCTGCGCTTCTTCACCTCCTTCATGCGGCGCTGCCTCTTCAGGAACAGCTGCACAATCGGGTCGGTGGCGTTGACCTCTTCGTCTTCTGCAGCGACGAGAGGCTGCAGCTCAGGAGGAAGCGGCTCGGTTTCTGTGGGATGAGACTGTGCCGTCAGCTTCTGATGAATTCCTTGAGCAAAACTTTCTTTGCATTTGGAAGAAAACGGAGCGAGTTCTCACGGGGTCAGAGCTGTTTTTAACGCTGTGATCTTTGAGGTTATTTTTATGTAGTTACAGTGCCATGACTTAAGAAGCCCGCTTTACTACACATTTGTTTGCATAAGAGCCTAATTTCTTTACACAATATTCCACTATTAACAGCCTGACATGAACAAGTTTTTACCTGTCCCATTGCGAACACGCTCCTGGAGCTCAAACAGCTTGGTGAAGTTCTCCTGTAGCGCCGCCTCTGTGGTGTTGACGTAGACGTACATGTAGCAAGATGGGTTTTCAGACACTGTGTACACCTTATGGTAAGCCCCAGCAGGCACCTGCACACATGCACATTGTGGTAAATGCTAGTGTGTCCAGGTTAGGCAGTATACAGTTAATGGTGGTGACAGTGTGTTGCTGTACCTTTATCTGCTCACCAGGCTGAAGAGTGTAGTTCTTTTTCTCCTCCACTACCTCAACGTTCACTTTACCCTGCAGTACATGGATACTGGTGTTGCCCAGATCTTCACTTACAAAGTTTTCTAAGTGGAGACCTAAAAGGTATCATACAGTCAGTGAGCACAAAGGCAGCCCGCGGAGAATAAATAAGAGTAAACAAAACAATAATCTATAAACATAAATATACGTTTCCAACAAAATAGAACAAAGAAATGTTTGTAACCTGGGAAATCAGCGATAAAGACAATCTCAGTCTGATTGTCCAAGCTGCCCTCAATCTCCTGGAACTTGCTCCTCCAAGGCGAGAGGTCCACCAGTAGAGGCATCAGCCATGTGTTTGGTCGGAAAGGTGACCAATCAGCCCTCACAACGTCCACACGGGGATCGAAGATCCTTAGAGAGCAGATTTAAAAACATACTTACTATAACTTCATTTTAATTTCTTTATATCTGAAGTAATTACATTAATAGCATCTTTTTCTTTTTCTCATACCTTTGCTGGAAGCGTTCATTGATGGACACCCAGATGTCAAAGTAGATTTCAGGATCAGAGATATTATAGCGGGGCAGGAACTGATTGAGACAGGTGGCATACTGCTTCAGCATGTCTCCGTGGTCTTTCCAACGGCGGCTTTGTGTGAACACCTACAGTACACAGACAGCATAAAAAGTAAAAATATCAAAGTCTTGATCACTTGTCATCATGTGACAAATGTAAAACTTGCTAAACTAAAACTGTGGATACATCCTGGGTCTTCAAGCCCTTACTGCATTATTGTTGCTTTTATTGGGCTAATTATTGTTAAAGACCACTGATGCTTTCTTCCTTGTAACTCACCCCTGGGTTGAGATATCCAATTTCCCCAGTTTTTCCATCTTTGTAGGTGATCTTAACATGCTGATGGCTGCGGGAGTGAACCATCATGTCCCAAGAGTAACCGTACAAGCCGTTGGTCCAGTTGTTGTAGCCCTGCGGAAAAACTAAACATTAGGATGATTCCATGCTTATAATAAAAATCATATTGTAAAACATTTCTAGCCATTGAACAAGTTTTTAAACAAAGACAGATAAGAAGATAAAAAACAAGAAAACAACGTCATATCAGTGATTGAATGATGAGTATCTGCTTCAGCTCTGAGCTGTTATTTGCTGTGGACCAGTGACTTTTGACTCTGATTGAGCAACAGTCAGTCTGGTGACTCAGAGAGGGATAAAAGGATTCTGCTGACAGCAAAGTACAACTGGTACAATTGGTTCTTTGTTGTACCTGTGTGATGAAGTGGGAGTAAGGCAGGAAGAATTGTTCAAGTATGTAGAGAATAGTAAAAATGGCTCCCAGCTTGTGCTTAAGTCTCAGTTTGGGAGCTTTGGCGACAGGCGGGGTCTCCTGGCGTTCGGTGCTGGTGCTGTTGATCTCCCTGTACACGCAGGAAGTACTGGGCTGAGGAT